TTAATATATATCAATATATACCGCTTTATCCAATCTGCTGTCCCTGCGATTAGTTCTGGTGTAATCAAGTTAATTAACGTAGCCGTAGCAAGAATACAGTATGCTCCGCTGTTGTGCAAAAATTTTATCAATCGCTGTGCTTATAAAGAGCTATTTTGTTAATACTTTACCGGATATCAACTTCTCCACCTTCATGCATTATAAATGAACCATCTGGCTGTTTTAATTTCATAAACCATTTATAAAGACTTTCTCTAAAAGTTTTGATATATAAGGAATAAATAAGTGTTGGTTGATATTAGCAACGTGTAAGAATAATAATACCTATCAATTGAATCGTATGCCTCTTTAGTTCCTAAAATTGCTATAGTATTTACCGCAGCATAAGTTACAGCAGCATGAGATATCTGACCTGGACCACCACCAAATCCTCCGGTAACATTTTGTAACTTAGATATAGTTGATACACCTCTAAAATTTATAGCATATTAGATCGATATAAATTTAATTCCAAAAAGTATATTAATCTAGTAACCTGTCTATGAGTTCTTGAGTAATATCATGGCCAAGCAAATCGAGAACATGAAGCATCCAATAACATAGCCAGGGTTTGTTAGCATCTAATACTACCCAATGTTGATGTAAACCTTTAAGACCATCTGTAGCGTATTTAATGTGTGAGATTCTATTAAGCCTTATCCTTTAAATAGAAATGCAAGTTGGTCCTAAGTATTGAGTATTTATAAAAACAGTTCTCTTATTGTATAACTTACGTGTTTAGTGAGTTTTTGTCTTTTACGGGTTTAAACAAATCGTATACTGATTTCTCTGTTTTGGTCTATTATCAAGAGGTTAATATCGCAAATACTTTTTTTCATTAAAAAGTTATCATAGCAATGTATGCACCTGAAGTCTTGAAGACTCTGTAAAATATTCATCATTTTTAGCGAAAAGTTCTTCTAAGGGACGAGGTCCGTCAATAATTCCCATGGTCGCGAACAGTATCGTTAAAAGAATCGAAGATTTAAATTTTATATTGTAGTTTAAACAATATAAAAAAGCTGCATTGTATCTATTTATTTTTGAGAAAATGTTTCTTGCGGTTGTGCACCCTAATACGATTAGCCAATATAAAGCGGTGTGTGGTCACGTGACATATTACCAATCAGATTATATCAATATGTACAGTTTTTTGCGAAACACTAGTTATAGAAACTTGATAACCTCGACGAAGTCAAAAAAAACGGCAGTCTGAATTAATATGGAAAAATACACTACGTACCGACAACAACAGGCTCCACTTATCTCTCACGTGTATCTGTAGCCATCAAACTCATTGCATAAACCGGATCCGGATCCGAATTGATGGTTTTTGAAGACCTGGTGATAGACGCCTAAGGAAGACAAATGAAGCCTGTTGCTTGTAGTGTGTTGTTTATAAATTGATGGTTTTTGAAGACCTACTACTGGTGATAGACGCCTAAGAGAGACAAATGAAGCCTGTTTGCCTGTAGTGTGTTTTTTATACTAATTTCAGTTCTGATATCCTTTGTAATACATCTATTAAAAATAGCGAATCCGCTTGGATTTTTTTTTGGAACACTAGTCGAACTATAGATGCTAATAAAATTAAATAATACTAACTGTGACTATCTAAAATCTGATTGTTTGTTATATTAAATTTTATCAGTTTTACTAATGCTTAGGGGAGAGTCATTTATCAGCTAATATTTTTTTATTAAGAGACTACTTTCTCTTTACCTGATTTTAAATAAAAAATTTTAATTAGTTAAAACTATATACCTAATAATTTTTTACTTCTTCTCCTTTTCTAAAAAATCATCTGATTTCTGGTGCTTTTCTTATTAAAAGTTTTATTAATTTTACTAGCATCTATAGTTTGAATAGATTAATAAAATATTAAAAAGCAATTTATAAGATAGATATACCTAATTTGGTACAGTACCTAATTTGACACATGATGATATCTTGAGAACTATTGATTAGAACTGCATGATTCTGGTATTATTTGATTCATCTCATCAAAATGAATCGAATAGTACCAAAATCATGTGATTCTAATCAATAGTTCTTAAGATACTCTATTTAACCAAAATAGCCAAGGTGATATATCTAATTTGATGCAAGTAAATGTTTACAATAGATATTATGTAATGTATTGATCAGAATTGCAAGAATTTGGTACCATTCAATTCGTCTCATCAAGACAAATCGAATAATACCAGATTTTCACGATTCTGATTAATACATCACATGATATCTATTGTAAATATTTACTTGTATCAAATTAGGCATTATATCAAATTACAAATATATTTTTTAAAAATTTTTTAATAAGTGATATCTCATGATTTAGTGATTATAATTGGATGATTTTGGTATCATTCAATTTATCTTAATGAAATGAAATAAATGATATAAAAATTATCTAATTCTGGTCAATATATTATATAATATTTATCGAAAATGTTAATACATTAAAATAGACTTAATTAATAAAATATTTTTTAAAAATTCTTGTAATTTACTAGACTGATTTTAATAATTTAATCATCATTAGATTTATCTTAATGAGCTCTATAATTTTAATTAATAACTTAAAGATAATTAACTTAGTATAAAAAAAATTTTTAGATAAAAGTATATTATATTTAAAAAATCTTAATTTTTATATTACAGATCAAATTGGTTTTTAGATCAAGTTAAACTTAACCTGGGTTAAATTGATCTCTAGCAGAATTTTAGAGTTAGAGTAGACTAGAATTATGTTGATGCTAGTTAAATTTTTTAATTTATCAATTCAATCTAAGTCAAGTTTAACTTAATCTAAAAACAAATTTGATATATAATATATATACTATATTATATTATACTATAATTACTCTCTAGAAGTGTAGCAACTTAGTGAAGTAGTTAAGTTGTCACACCCCCAAGTAGTATGTTAAATAGGTAAAGGGTTCAAAACCTACTAGTGACGAATTTCGAATATTCTATCTGTATGATGGCTACTGTCTTTTAACGATCGATTGGAATAGAATTTCTGTAACCTTGGTAGCACTAACAAAATTGGGAGATCATAGATACTTGTATGACATATAAGTTATACAAAAAATTTCAGATCGTTGTAAAACCAAGAAACCAGAAAAATAGACACCTGCTTGGCAAGATCCGAGTAGAGAGGTAGCACAAATCTTTGATAGTACTACATAAATAATTATTACTGGAAGAACTGACCAAACTGAACGGGACCAAAGTGTTAGACAAGATACTTCACCAACCAGGTTACCAGAGAAGTACCAGAGGAAAAGAACCCAATCGTGGAGATCAGGAGCAGGTCACAGCCCTTTTGGGCCATCTAGATTGGTAGTTTGGGATAGTTGGGGATACTAGTAATAGTCTGTAAAGTATATACTGAGGTTTGTATAAACTTTACAAGGGCAGAAGTAGATTTGGATAGCAGAGTTTAGTCGAAAACTGGGGTTAAATCATAGAAAAGAAGCAGGAGAAAGTATAAGCTAGGGAATCAACTATAGGCAATAACTTCGATCTGACGCCACCCACACTCCTAGAATAGAATAACTAAATCGCAAGTGGTAGGCTATGGTCTGTGTGTACCAAACTGAAGTGCAGGCTAGATGTGGTATAAAGTAGAAATATTGCGGGCTCTGTTAGGTTTATCTTGAGGATAAAGTAGTTCTAGATCGATATATGTGAAAAAAGTGCATCAAAAAGAACTGGTTTGTAGAAACCGAAGAAAAGGTGCCAATTGATATAGGCCTCAGAGTACATAAGCACAGAGGGTTTAAAATAGGTTATCCCCTAGTTGGGTTGCAGGTATAGCAAATAGTATAGAACCTAAAAATAGGCAGACTACTTAAATAGGTGCTCAAAAGGCACAGGTATAGTTAAATGTACTCTCCAAATATGTATAATGATGTCCTAACTCAATAAAGTATAACACAACCAAAAGGTCACCTTAATATCAAAAAAATATATATATATATAATTACTCTCTAGTTAACCGACAAATTACCAATTAAATTTAAATTTTTATTAACAAATATTATATAAATATTTTAAAAATATTAATTAACTCTTTTAATGATTACTTAATAGACAATTCATCTATCATCTGGAGAAGATCTGCAAATTTTATAAGTAAATTTTACTATTAAGCCAAATGTGA